ATTAGCTTTTCCATTGACTGAATTGCATTTGTGGTGTCAAGGGAAGCCAGCACCCGGAGGTGATGTTGGGCCTGTTACTACAGGTGCCGGTGTTTTCCTTGCTGCTCAGTTCAGGGTGGTGGTAATGTAGTTGGACTTACACTGAACATATATATATCAAAGTTCATTATTCATGAATGGAGTAAATTACAGATAAAGTGTGTCAGTTTAAAATCACAGGAGTTTAGAGCTGACTGCCATTTTAAGAGGATCTTTATGGTCCTCTGAAAACAGGTTTGTTTTTTGTTTTTTTTTTTTTTACTGGTGATAAGATTTAATTTGTGACATGAATGGTTTGGGTTGTATTCTGATATGACCCATTCATCAGAAATACCAAGTAACTTATCTGCAAAGAAAGTGATAAACAGGTTGATCTATGGTTATTAATTAGATCCACCAAGAAACAGGGTTTTGTGCACTCACTGAAGCCCCACACCCGCTGCCAAATAAGGGTCATACAGGAGTCAATAGGCAGAAGCTTTCTTCAAGCAAAATTTTCCAGCCTGCCATTAAAGATACTGAACAATTCTTATTTGGTAGACAAAGACACCATACAATTCTTTTTTTTGGGGGGGGAGCAAAGTTGTCTTACAGTGGGGAGAGGCAGAAGTGACTAGGCCCCCTTACACAGGAAGGAACAACCTGTTGGGGACACATGTTTGAGGACTGAGGAGATAGAAATAGTGAGCTTGAAGTCCCTGTGACCGCTGATGTCTGGCCACATGCAGAGCCCTGAAATAGCAGCTGGAAGGGCCCTGGAGAACCTTATAGTCTGTGGTCTCCAAACTGTTTTGAGGCACCCCAGGGGTCAAGGGGAAGCTGAACAGCTCACCTGCTGTACCAAGTGTGCCAACTGTGCCAACTATGCCGGGGTGAGGAGAGGGGGGGGAGCACCAGAAAGACAAGTGGGAAAGCAATTTCCTCAGGTATTTCAGCCAGAGGGAAAAAATAACCGTAGTTCTATCAGAGCATACATGTTTTGTGTGTCATGTTTTTGTGTTGCTGTTTTAGTTTTTGTGTTTGGGTAACAAGAGTCAGCATCCTAATCTCGAGTGTTTCGGGCCTCTCAGGGTGTTTATCTAGCCCCACTGAATGGGAAGCCCCTCCCCTACCGCCTCCCTAGCATTCTGGAGCAGCTCAGCTTTTAACTACGCGTGCGTGCGTGTGTGTGTGCGTGTGCGTGTGCGTGTGTGTGTGTGTGTGTGTGTGTGTGTGTGAGAGAGAGAGAGAGAGAAAGAGAGATTGGGGTTGTAAACAATTTATTACATGAAAGAGTAATATCGACAGTCTAGACCACAGGTCACAGAAGAAGGTCCATGTGTTCAGCTACTTGCTCTGTTCTGTTTTGTTTTAGTGGAGTGACTTCATCAGATTTTTGTCCTTGACGGATTGTTTTGGTGGAATTGGAAGTGGGGAGGACCTTTGGACTTCAGTCCACCAATAGATGGTTCTGGCTTCAGGACTTGTTTGTGGATGAGCCCTGAGCCCAAATTCCTGTAAATGACAGGTCTGGTGTATGAAAATCAGCCAAGGAGATTATATAGTCCTCACATTTGGCATCATGGAGACTGTTTGATGTTAATGGGTTTACCGGAAAGGACCTTTGTGGGGTTCACTTGGCCTAAGGCAGTCTAGCTATTGATGTAATCAGGAGACCACAAAGCATGATTTCTCTGCCCCGTCTCTCCTTAGCAGTGAGTTTCCTGTGAGTCATGCATCTGTGCCGTAAACCTTGGAGAAAGTTACCACGTTTCCAAGGCAGGGGCAGGGCTAACTTGATAATCCTGTGGCTCTGGAGAGTCTTGCCAGAGGCTTCGCCTTCCTCCTGGAACTTGCCCAGATCTGACTAGAGCTACAGAGCACCTAGAACTGACTCCAAGTCACAGTGGTAGAGGCCTAAGAGATAGTGGAGGCCAGGGCCCCCCCAAACTTTCACCTTTGAATTGCCTGGGAAATGTAAAAAAAAAAAAAAAAAGCCTTCCTCCCATCCTTTAAGTCTAATTCAGAAAGTCTGGAATAGGACCCAGAAGCCTATTTTTAATATATATATATATAATATTAGCATGGCATATGGCATTTGGGACCACTGATCTTAGGCCATATTTTAATTTTATTTGACTTAAAATTATATGTATTTATTTGACTTAAAATTATATGTATCCCATACAGAGAATTATAAAGAAAGCCCTACCCACTTTTCTCTTTGTCCAGTTGATGTAAACAATTGACAGGAACACAGCAAACTCATGTTTCAGCAATTCAAATAGAAAGACAAGAAGGATGAAAACCAAAAAGCCTCTCACTCCTAGTAGAGCTCCCAAAGGTAATCACTCTTAACACTTTCTTGGGATTCCACGCACAGAGGAGTTTTCATTTATAGAGTTAAAACTTAATTGATCTACTTAATTCTATAAAATCTGAACTCAAGGCCTCATCCTATACCCTTTACCTTGTACTTCTGAGCCCACTACAGAGTAGAGTTCTTTTTAATAACTGTTATGTAACTATTGATAACTTTTAAATAATATCTTATTGGTAAAGTCAATATTTGTAACATTTAGGACAATGCTTGTAGCAAGCCTCATGTATTTGTTAAATGAATGAGTGAATGAATGAAAGTTGCTGCCTGTATTCTATTACATGAATATATCCTACTTACTTTTGCTCGTTATGGACACTTTGTTATGTCAGTTACTATAACAAGAATTGCAGACATGGACATTCTTGTATCTTGGGGACTCCAGTTTGGGCATGGTGATCAGTACCTATTTAGAGTGACAATAGTAGGCATGGAGCCAAAGGTATTAGGAAGGAAAATTCATTGATTACATAGAAGCAGGAAGTAGAACTGGATTCGGAGTTTTGCTTGGGTCATGGAATCACAGAATTATAAACCTTAGATCTAGAAGGAACTATAAGAGATAATGTGTTTCAGACCTAGACCCTGGACAGGGAACATGTTACCTCTTAAGTTCCAACTTGTGCGTTGAGCCACAGTGAATTCATTGGAAAAGAGTGTGTGTATGTGTGTGTGTGTGTGTGTGTGTGTTCGAGTCTATGAGATCTTTAAAATTTTGACAGAGACAATGATATTTGACATTGCTCAGATTCTGTGAAAACTACAGGCTCAAGACAGCTTACAGTTTAGCATTAATCTTCTGCATTCCTTTTAGTGATATTATATTTAGTGAAGCTGAGCATTTTTCAGTTGCCATGATTCAACAAACAATGTGCACAAATGGATGTGGGTTAGGGAGCGAGGATGGTGTTGTCCAGTCTGATTCCAAAATTTCAAAAGTTGTGTAGTGACTAATGGTTGTACATATGCTGTGAGTAATTGGATAAAAATGTTCTTTGCTTTCAATTTGTGTGATTCCTTTTTCAAAGTTATCAATTTGTTGGGATGCTTATTAAGTTGGTAGAATCTAACTATGTAATAAACACAATTGGTACGTATTACTTTTGGCCTGGAAAAACTGTGAAGTAATTGTGAGGATACTAAGGGTACCACGAAACAAAAAGGTCTGGGAACAACTGACTTCATTTGTATTCATCAGAACTCAGCTGCGAGTGAGAGAAAATTAGCTGACATTGGCTTAAGCAAAACCAGGGCATTATTTGCTTTTATATTTGGGACATCTGGGTTTGCGGATGGTGTCAGCCTGGGCTGGGTTCCACTTCTCCTTCCATACCTAGAATGGGATCTCCACATGTGGACGGGACTTCTTCAGGACCCTCCTTCTCAGACTCACGTCCTTCCAGTTTAGCAGTCCCAACAGAAACAACCACCTTTCCCACTGGTTTGTACATAAAAGCCTTGAGGGAACTTGGGTCCACAGCCTGGGTCACTTGCCCGTCCCTGCACTATGGGGATGCAGGTTTGTGGTGGCCAGTTCTGGGTTACATGACCATCCCTGTGCTCAAGTGGGCGCCCCAGCTAAACTGCACAGAACAGGTTCTGCACAGAAAAGCGAAGATTCTGTTATCAAGAGAATGGGGGAAGGGGCTCCAGACCAGAAAACAGTGATTTCCCATGTTACAGATGAGGGAACAGATGGCATGATAGGTTAGAAGATGGACATGGAGCCTCTGAGGTCCCACCTGTCCGGTTTCACTTCCTTGGGCAAATTAACTACATCTGTGTCTTTTAAGACTTTGGAGTCCCCATTTGTGAAATGGGAATAGCTGAAGCTAAAAGTCAGGATGTTAAAAAGGATGACAGTAATGGCTTCTACTTCATGGTGGATCAGGTTTTTTGGGAGCAGGCCCAGAGTCCCAGGACTCTGTTCTTGTCTTAGGCAAGGAAAGATTTAAAGTTGAGACCAAAGTTACAGAGAAGCAAGAGATTTATGGATAGGAAGAAGAACGGGCAAGCTCTTGAGTGGAAATGGGCCCTGAGTGGGTAGCCACTGAAGGGGTCAGAAGTGCTTTTACGGGTACAGTGAGCAAGAAGGCAGGGTTTGACCATTGGGTGCTCCTCCTTGTGTCTCTTGCTGATTGGCTGGGCCCATAGGGTCTCCTAGGCTACCAAGGCCCACTGAGTTTTCCCACATTACCCCAGCCTTTTTTTTTTTGAAACCAGCTTTGGTCTATGGCTATTGTGCTATTATGTTGGTATCCTGAACATTCCATTTTTAATTGAATTGGGGGCGGGGAACCTGCCTGGTGTGCGATTGTTTCTCAGTCAGGCTGATCCAGGACTTGGAACTTGGGGCACCCTGGTACTAACTGACTGCTTATACCCATTTCCCAACTTCCTTCTTCAGTGAAGACTGAGTGAGTTCATGCATGTATCTGCTGCATGCACCTGGCACAGAGGAAGTCCTCAGTAAAACAGGCCCTTACTATTATGATTGCCTAAGTAAGTGACCTCTGTGTCTGACTCCTGCAGCAGGTCTCCGCCCAACTAGGGAGGCGCGAGAGGACGCAAAGCAATGATTTCCTCTTTCTGTCTGTTGCAGAGTGGAGCAACATGGACGCTGTCAGTCAAGTCCCCATGGAAGCTGTGCTCCCCAAGCACATCCTGGACATCTGGGTCATTGTCCTCATCATCCTAGCCACCATTGTCATCATGACATCCTTACTGCTGTGCCCAGCCACTGCGGTCATCATTTATCGCATGAGGACTCATCCTGTCCTCAATGGTGCGGTTTGAGAACTGCCTGGGAGGGGCAGGTGGGGGCTGAGGACAACACCCCCTCCCTCACCCGCATCCCCTTCCTTAGAGATCAGCAGCAGTGACATTGGAGTGTGGACTCTGGAGCATGACATGTAAGAAGAGACCTGAGATCTGGTTTGGATTCTGCCACTGGCCAGCTGTGTGAGGTTGAGGGACCTAAATCTGAGTCCTGGGTTCTTTATCTTTCAAATGGGGATCATGATCCCTGTGTCCTTCCTACCTCATAGGGTCATGAGAACCAGTTACTTCGTGGATTTCAGAGCAGTAAAGCAAGTGCAGGTACCAGGTGTTGCTGCTGAAGGCTGAGAAACTTTGAAAAATCAAAGAACCTAATTGCTGATGATGATCTTCAAGATGGAGAGGGGGACACTTGGCCAGAAGCAGCCTTTACCAATGTCCCTTTACCAAGGTTAAACCAAGCCAAGCAGGGTCACCCTGACCTCATTCCAAAGGGTTGCAACACATTGGCTCAAAGTTTTATATTTTCTCAAGTTTTCTGAGTCAAGAGGAAATTGAGTGAGGCAGGGAGAGTGGGTAGAACTTTCTAGGACCTTCTTTAGTCAGAATCTCTGCCATTGGGCAGTCTGGAGTGCTCTCTTATTTCTTGGCAATGCTAAGGGAGCTGGGGCAGTGGGCTTCTTTCTGCACGGGACTCTCATTGATTTGACACTCAAGCTATGTTGGAAAATGCAGGGTGGTTGAGTTCCCTGGCCAGCTCCCAGGACCTCCAGCCCGCACCCCTTGCATGTTCCACACCAGAGGAGCCTGTCCCTCAGCCTGGCTCCTGCTAAGTTTAGGTGTCCTCCTTTATTCCCTCCAACTAGCACTGCAACCAGTCCAAGGGACAGACTTGTACTTTAAGAGATGGTCCCAGGGCTGTGGGAACCAACTCAAAACACTGATGGTTGTTTTAGATGCTGACTTACATTTATGTAGAGAGATCTTTGGACTGCTCAAGCTCTTTGACCAAAATCAGAAATGTCTTGAATTTGCTGAATTATGTAAGAAGATAGCCCCAGTACCAGGATGTTATTATGTGAAAACAATGCTTTTACTTTGATTTGATTTCATTGATGTGCAGAATAATTTCTAATAAAGTGCTAAAAAATGTGCCTGATGTCTTTCTTAAAGAGTGTGCCTGTTAAACCTGAGGAAACTCAGGGAAAAAGCTCCCACTGCATTTATGGACCCTAAAGGCAGTTTGAATTAGAAATAGAAAGCGAAAGAGAAGAATCAAATCCCCTGGAGGTTCTGGCTTTGGTAAGTGGTGATGTCGTGCAGTTTATACAGGAGACAAATAGATTTTGGGAGGAAGGTGTTAATTTTTAAACAATGTTTGCTATTTCCACCCCCCCCTCAGGTGCAGTCCCCACAGAATTTCCTTCCCCAATGCACCCGTGCACCATCACCTCAGTCCCCTGTGCTCCTCTCTCCCTCCCTCTGACCCCTCTCCTTCCTCCTCCTCTGCAGGATGTCTCTGGTTTATAACTGTTTGTTTTTGTTTTGTTTTGTATTGTTATTATTTTTTCCCCTGATGTCTTATTTTGTTCCCCTATATTCCTCCTGGAAGTGAAACCTTCTGATATTTTTCTTTTTCCTTCTGACTTATTTCACTGAACTTAATTCCTTCTAGCTCCGTCCACGTTGCTGTAAATGGCATGAGTTTATCTTTTTTGATTGCTGAATAGTATTCTCTTGTGTGTATATACCACATCTTTTTGATCCAATCATCTATTTTTGGGCATTTGGGTTGTTCCCAGGTTTTTTACCTATTGTAAATAGTGCTGCAATAAACAGAGGGGTATTCTTTTAAATCAATGTCTTCGTGTCTGTTGGGTAGATTCCTAGGAGTAGAATTTCTGGGTCATATGGTAGCTCCATTTTTAGTAGACTGAGGAACCTCCAGACAGCTTTCCATAGTGGTTGGACCAGTTTGAACTCCCACCATGGGGTGCTGGTAATATGCAGGTGGTGCTTTGAGAATGCAGCTGGAGACGTATGTTCTTCAGGAAAGATATCAGGGCTGGAGTTTTGTTTTGGGAGATTATCTGTACATGGTAGATATTCCACATGAGTGGACAGGATCACCGACAGTTTACAGAGAAGTGAGGGGCCAAATGCAGAATGTGGAGCACACTAAGTGAGGATGGAAAGAAAAAAGGAAGCTCTGAGATCAAAAAGGATCTGTGATAAGGAGCATATGACCATACGTAAGGGGTCCAATCTGGAGGTAAAGGACAGCGGGAGTTTAGGAAGCGTAGGCAGGGAAAACAGACAACTCTTTCCAAGTGTTTTAGTTAGAGGAAGGTATTGAGAAAAATAGTTAAGCTATATGTGATAAAATAGATGTGATGAGATTCTGATTGGTTGGCTCAGCGTCCATTCCAACTTTTCTTTCTGATGCAGTTTTGTAGACGACAGGGCCTGAAAAGTGAAAAACTTCTTTGAAGGTGAAAAACTACTCCCATTATTAAACAACAGTGCCACAGACTTGATTCAAGTTCTACTCATCAGATGCACACGGGTGAGGTTAGCTTGGAACTCAGTTAGCCTGGGGCTTTTATGGTGCAGAGTAGAGGCGAGTTCCAGAACTGAACAAGCAGCTTTTTCATAACCTGGATTGTGTTTGAGCACGGGTCCCACAGCCTGACGCGGTTTTCTTACTCACTGGCTCTCTATTTGCGGCGGAAGTAGCAGCTGGCCACAGGGGCAATCCCCTGTACGGCTTTGGAAGGAATTCTAGCTCATCTCTGCCTTCAGTGCTTCTCGAACCCTCATATTGGTTTAAAGCATGTTAATTCTCTACATTAAAACTCAAACTTTATCTTAAATCTTTGCAGTGAAACTTGATTGGTCCTGATGGAAGAAATATTTATTCCATTCAATTTTTGCTCTAGTCATTGCATTTCTAAGCTCACCATGTGATCCAATATCTGTGGGGAAAGAGCTCTGTCAGTGAGACACAGGTGGTCTGAGAGAAACAGATGCCAGGGAACCGGTGGTCTCAAGGAGAGCCTGGAGGTCTGCTGGTGGTGGGGAGTGAGAACGTTACTTGAGTTTCTAAAACAATAACAGTGAGGATAGTGAGATAGTTAGGGGGGCATCAGCAACAGAGTGGATTTTGAAAAGAGAGTGAAAATATCATTTCTCAATCCAAAATCTATGGGCTACTTTGGAAAATAAAGGACTAGTAATAAATGTTTAAAAATACATCTATTGAAATTAATGCCTAGATCATATCATTTAGTTGCATGGAGTGTTTTAAAAAAGAATGTGGCATGCCGACAGGTAAGAACAGTGCATGAACACTTCTATCATAAACTCCCAAACGTGTCAGTTCATGTTTTCACATTTCTTTAACAAATAACATCCCCACTGAAGTTAGAAGAAATAAGATTTTGAAAGGATATGTGGTAAATCAGAGAGAGCACGATTTCTTGTAATAACTAATAAGCATTAATACCTTAACTCCAGAACTAACTAACTTGAGAATTACTAGAGGAGAAAAGAGAAATAATTCCAGTATTTATATAGCCATAGAGGAGAGGTCTGGTAAATACGGCATAACAAATGGAATAAAACTTGGTGAGGGAGTACTATTATAAGTAATGAAAAGCAAAATACATTAGTGCATTTATTCAGAGATGCCTCTAGCATTTTTTATAACAGGTAAAGATGTGCTAATCTGGTCAGAACATGCAATAGGAACTCCTATAGCTTTTCATATTTTATGTGAGGCTTGGAAAACATTTGACTGCTTATACAAAAGAATTGAGGGGATTATAAGTGGAGATGATATTGAGAATATACTAAGCATCCAGACCAGGCCAGGAAGGAGGATAGAGAGGAGAAAAAGAGAGATTATGGTGACAATTTGTTTGCATTTGATTCTTCATTGGTTACAATTGCCTGTAATAAATCATTGACTACAAGTATTGCCAATTTTTCACAAATAAAACGATTTGACATTCTACTCCACTTCTCATGAAAAGGGTAATTTCTGCTACTATACCTCAGATGTAACTGGTTTCATCAGACTTCTTCAAATAGACTTGTGTCTTTGGAAACCAACATTCCAAGGACGTGCCTCTATACGTCATCTACAAAGCCCAAATGCAGTTTGAGAAATTTCATGTGTTTGCATGTGTGGGTGCATGCACACTACTAAGTGTATGTTAGAATGTAATGTCCCCCGCCCGAAGTGCACAGGCAATGTTTTGTGTTGAGCTATTTCACCAAACCACTCATTTCTTGATAAACATTTTTGGAAGTAAACAAATTTTGTGGCCTCCCAACACATACATGGCATGTTTGGTTTCCTTTTAGTTTCTGGTAAGAGTACTCAATCATCACTAATAAAAATTACATAAGCTTTGGAAACAACCCAAATGCCCAAAAATAGATGACTGGATCAAGAAGATGTGGTACATATATACCATGGAATATTACTCAGCATTCAAAAAAGATAAACACATGCAATTTGTAGCAACATGGATGGCGCTGGAAGGGATCATGCTCAGCGAAATAAGCCAAAAAGAAAAAGAAAAATACCGGATGGTCTCACTCATAGCAGGAATCTAGAAAACTTAAATAAGGGACCAGGAAAATGAATATAAGAAAGTGAAAATCAAAATCAACAAAAAACTATGAACCAGAGACACTTTTTGGGGGGTGGGGGGCGGGAGGGGAAGGATTGGGGTCAGAATGGGGCGTTTGCAATTGTATGGGGGAATATAAAAATAAAATTTATTATTTAAAAAAAAAATTACATTTGACGTTTGAACAGCACTGGCTTGAACCCTGTGGTTCACTTAGAACCACATTTTCTTGTAAACAGACAATACCACTAACCCCCAAGTGTAGCTTTTATGAGATTTTAAATGCAGCATCCTGTCTTTTGAGAAACACAGTACTGAAGTAGTCCAGAAATTAATTTTATTGTGATAGCCCTCTAGAAGTGAAACCTAATTGCCTGTTGTAGGAAAACTTGGAAAATTGTGTGACAGATAAGCATAGGAATAGTCGTGCAATTTCAGCCCTTGAGAAGTGAGGAGTGACTGGGAATTGCTGGATGTGGGACATAAGCTCTGTGTGCTGTCTAGCCTTTCTGGGTCTGATTCATGCTTTGCAAGTGTAGACAATCAGAATTAGATGGGAAAAATCAGTCCACGGTTTTAGGGTGAATGAGTGTAAGGAATTTGCAGGCAGTCCACCAGAGGGCGATATTGCTCTTTTTTCAAAAGGCTCTGTTAACAGACGTTTCCAAAGTAACCCTATCACATTGCTACAGAATTTTGGCTTTACTCTTCACTGGCTTTGTGATTAGGGGCAAGTCACAACAACTCTTTGAGCCTCATTTTCCTTGGCTGTAAAATGGTATGAAATTAATTAAATTATACTTACCTCACAGGGTTGATCTGAATATTAAATCACAGATGCAAGGTGGAAAGGTAAAACACCAAAAATGCTTAATAGGTGATCTGACAATGAATCTTTAGTTTCTTCATCTGTAAAAGGGCAGTTATTTCATGATGAAATAATAAGTATAGGATTTGGCCAGTGTCTGAGTCACAGCAGTCTTTCAATAATGCCACTTATTAGATGGTCAGTGATGCAAAGACACCTAAGGTCTATGTTACCTTTCTTAACTGGAGAGGTGTATTTGAATTTACCTCCTGCCTCCTTACCAATCAATTTGCAATAACACTTCTTTCTTTTCTCGAAACCTGGTTGCAGGTATGTGGGCTTCTATGCATATTGGTCATGAGTCCATTGCTCAGAAATAGGAGGAGATGATTTTTGATTTTTAAGTCTTCACAGAAATTCCTTTGAAAAATTTTAAGAATTTTTAACGTAAAAAAACATTAAAATCTTTCAGTAAGATTAAAACTTTAATCTAGTCCTTACATAATTCTTGCTAATGAGAGAATGGAAATAGGATTGTGAAATGGAACAATGATAAAACAATAAAATTCCCTTTGAAACCCTTAATTCTAAAAGTTGAAGAACAACGTTTAAGTTGTCCAAATCACACAAAGCATTTAATTGAGATGTGTGAAATGTCCTCAATTCCCATAAAAAAGTTCTGTGTTAGCAGGTCTCTAAATGCTATCAAAATCATAAACATGATATATAAATATTTAATTGATATGTAATTTAACTTATAGAAACAGAATTTATAATATGTAATGTATGGTATGTATTATATC